TAGACACCTTCCAACCTCTTCTCCTCTTAATGACGAACCCACTTTTTCCACTACATCATGTTCCACGGTCGGTCATGAAACCTCCGTAATGACTAGTATTTCCGAACCATCATCAAAAATTACCAAAACTGCTGATGGATGCTTGCAACGTTGCTTTCTCTCGAGCCATAATCGAGCCCGTGAATGTTTTTACTCCTGATTCTCGATTCAGAAAAACCTAAAACCTTCGTCGCTCTACATCTTTGCCTCGGTCTGATTGTTGAATAGTCTTCAGTTCATTAATGGCAACAAAGTTGATTTTTATATTCTCTTTCGCGCTCTCACTTTTCTTTCGTGTTTTCTCAGGTTGCGGATCATTAGATTCGTTACCTATATAACGCGAAAGAGCATCACAAACTTTGTTGAGTCTTCCTTCTCTGTACACTATGTTTATGTCGTACTCCTGTATAACTAATTGAAATTTTGCAAGACGACCGAAAAGATCTCTCCGTTTTAAGAGACTTGTTAATGGTCTGTGATCTGTGATGCATGTGGTGTGAGTTCCAAGTATGTAAGTCCGAAATTGAGTGATTGCAAAAATTAATCCTTATGCCTCTATTTCAATTGGGGCATAATTGCGTTCAGCTTTAATAAGTTTTCGGCTCGCGAATGCTATGGGATGCAAGTTCTTCAATGGTTTTTTAGGAGATTCTGATTGTAATAGTACCGCACCGATGGCGATGTTACTCTTGTCGCTTTCTACTATAAAGGTGTGATTAGGTTTGGGAGGTTTTAAAACAGGAGCTTTAACAAGTTGATCTTTGAGGGTTTGAAATGCTTTCTGTTCTGTCTCTGTCCAAACGAATTCATGATCATCTTTTGTAAGATCATGCAATGGGCTTGCTATATGAACGAAATTTTTGATGAATTTCCGAAAGAAACCTACCATACCTAAGAATCCTCGTACTGCTGTTACAGTGCGGGGGATAGGATACTCTTTAATCGATGTTACTTTACAAGGGTCTGGCTTAAGGCCATCCCTTCCTACTATGAGTCCTAAGAACTT